ATATATATATATATATTCCTACTTCTATGCAAGTTAGCACTAGTTTAACTTTGAATTCTTGACAAAAACTTCGATTTTTTCCTCTGATCTTGGTTGGTTGCAATAAATATCACTCTGTTTAATATCGTTCATTCCAGATATTCTATTGAATATAATATTCACTCTATGTTACTTCTCGTTAATTTATGCTGGAGGTATTGCTACTTGCTGTTTATATTGCACTAGTTGTAAGCTTTCCTATCATTGGAGGCATTCTTCTAGTTTGTACGACACCCACATTTTGGCCTCAACTTTTTAGCCTAAATCTATATTTTTTCTCTCGCAGATGTATTCGCCTTTCTTGGATACTGCTCCTCCAAGGTGGGTTCATGTTGCACATGGATTGCTTTTATTTTTATATCAGGTTTGTCTAAGTTCACTTTCTTCCTTGATACTAGTCCTTGTTTCGTCACTATGACTTCGGTATCATTTAATTATTTTTTCCCATTATTTTGAAGAAAGAACTCATTCTTCTATTCATATGCACTACTTCACTTTGTTTCTTACGTAAATATATTGGCCTTTGTTCATCGTTTTTAATTTCTGTTTGGATCATATAGCGATTAATACTAGACAGACAACATAGTTTGGATGCAACAATTGTTCACTTTGAGTCTAGTACTCAGCATTCGCAGTATTCTATCTTCACATGGCGAGATATTGCCTTTGATATAGTAAATCTTCCTTCTACGCCACTCTCTGCAACATCTCAGAACCTGATATTCCAAGATTCATGAATCATTGGTTTTGCATTTAAAAATTAATATATAATTGTCAATTTAGACAATCCTACAAAAATTCTGTTGTTAACCATGGTTCTGCAAAAATAAGATGGTTGACCTCAGAGTAAGCCTTGTTATTCATTTACCATATTCAATTGGCTCTTTTGACGGAAATTGAGTTGGCTCAAATGTGGAGAAAGCTATGCAACCCTTTGGAGGTCTTGTAACAAGGTCAGTGAACTCAGTGTAATAATGATATTAGGAATTATGATCCAAATCTTTGCACTTTTTCTAATATGATGCAAACGTAATTTCATAAACCCCCTCTTCAAGGACTGAACGGTAACAACAATGTTCACTTCCCTTCTAATTTTACATTAAAGAAAACCCAAAAGAATTAAATTAGACATTCTATATATTTCAACAAGGTCAATGGTTGGGGGATGGGAGGTGGCGATTATAAACCTGCTGTTATGTCCTCCATTCATTCATGCCAAATGAGTGGAGAAAGGTGAAGGCACTGTTCTGAAATTACTGGCTTGTGCTTGCTGTGAGAATCCCTTCGTATATTGCAAGAAATACAAAGTTGTAATCAGTATTCACAAAATCGAACCGGAACGGTTAACCTGATATGGGCCAGGGAGCACTTAGAATCGGAACCGGGCTAAACCGGGTGGTTAACCTGACTGGTTTGCTCCGGTAGAAATTTTTGTTTTTTTTTTTGAGAGAGAGTGAATTAACTGGTTTTAGGATAAAAAAATTAAAGAGAGAGAGCAGTAGGTTGAAGTATTCTCGATAAAAAATTAGAGGTAGAGCAGTAGGTTGAAGCATTCTTGATAAAAAATGAGAGAGAGCAGTAGGTTGAAGTATTCTTGATAAAAATTTAGAGGTAGAGTAGTGGGTTCCAGGGATTTACTATTCTTGATTGATGAGCACGTGTTGTGAGCGGTTCTTGTAGCTGGGAAGCCATCGTCAAGGTCCTCTTCTGAGAAAGGATCTGCAAAAACAGAAGAAAACATGGGTGAGAGAGAGAGAGAGAGGGAGCAAGAGATTTTATGGGTTTATTTGGAGAGAGAAAGAAAAAAGGTTAATTTTTTATAGAGAGAGAGAAACAGAACTTACAAGAGACCATAAAAGAAAATGTGACAGGTGGCACAGGGCTCCCAGTTCTCTAGGTTTTTATTGGGTAGTGTGAAAAATCTCTACCGTCGGTATAGATGAATGGTGTAGGAGGCTGCAACCCAACTTCAACAAATAGGGCTGCAGCCCTATATAAACTGCATCCTTTATAATTTGACATTAATTCTATTGATGGAGTTACAAAGTCTAATTAACAATAGCTAGTAGTAATAAGAGTGGCGAGGAGGGTTAAGGTATTGTTGTGTTTTGCTATCAGGGTTCAATGGGTTAAAATTCTGAGTAAGGTTTGGTGGACTCTGTAGTGCCGCAGCTGTGCCCCCTCGCCAGTCAGGAACATTTCCCCTGGTATCCCCTTGGCCAAAGTCTCCTACACTTGTCTAGCCTTCGTGGTCTACCATAAATAACAAATTTATTTGGGATATGTTTGCCTCAATATTAAGCATCATTTCAAATGGCATTTGACATTGTTGTACTTAGTAATATCATTATAAATAAGTCATACTTCACAATTGTTTTTCATGTCAGCGGCATTTTCATACTACCATTGTCATTAAACTAAGATATCTGCCCAAAAGATAATTAAGTGTATATTGTCTTATTACCTACAAAAGTACACAAGTCTGGGTACCATATTATGCACACATATGATAAGAAAGTAGACTCCAACAACCAAATAACAATGTTAGCAAGTTGAGTTCTTTGAAGAAGAAAACTCGACAGCCATTAATACCTCTGAATAGTGGTTATCTTCAATCTAAGATTGAAGTTAGATTACGTACTGCCCAAGTTCCTTCAAAACAAATGCCTGTATGCTTACAGTGTATCAAACCAGGAGCATCCCGAAATTACTCAAACCAGGCTTTTCCAAGCCCTTGGTTACTTAAAATCTATGCTACCTGATTTCCCAAACGAACACGCTTCAAGCCTTCAATCTCTCTTTCAAGAACCATTTGAACACGCATATTTTTTGGCTACAAAATATATTCTCGCCCAAGGCTCTAAAAAGCAAAATATAGTTGTCTTTCAAAAACCTTGATAGAAAAAAGAAAAAAAAAAACTGAAAAGAGTGAAGAACCAAGTACATACAAGACAATGGTGTAGTGTTTCATTGAACAGAAGGCAACTAAAATTTTTTCATGCACTTAAAAAACCAAAATGTCCCATTTCCATTATTACATATAGAACTATATCATGCATTTAAATTTTTTTTTAAAAAAAATCGAGCAAAAAATCAAACAATATTATCATGTACTATATCATACACTTTTTTTTTGTTAGTAAAAAATATAGCATTAAGAAAAAGAAGAATCGGTTTTTTTGTCATGTTCATCAAAAAAATATTTTTATCAAAAAACATAATTCTATCAAAAAACATAATTGTATTAAGAAAAATAGAAAAACACTTCCCATGTTCATCAAAAAACATAATTTTATTAAGCAAAATAATTTTTTTTAGTAAAATCGATTTCTCGAAAGCACCTAAACTCGAGCAACATTTCGAGCAAGAAACGACCCTTCAATGTTCGGATAATCGAACAAATCAACACACATGCATTGTAAAGGCTTTGATCGTCTTTCAAACGCTCCAAATCTCATAAAAAAATATTCGGTATTTTTTATTTAATTGAAAAAATGTTGGAAATTTCAAATCTATGAAATTTTCATGACATCGAGCAAGAAAAAAATTTATATAAAAAAATGTATTCAATTATAAATAAACTTACCTATTTTATTTGACAGATGAAGCCTTGATGATCAAAATCCACAACTCAATTTGATAAAAGACGAGCAATAAATTGATCAAACATCTGCTTTTTTGGATCAAACATAGGTTCTTTGAGCAACAGCGTTTTCAGCAGCAGGTTCCTTTGTTGTTTGAACAAATTGAAATAGATATCTGGTAAATGCTTCAGTTATATATCAAAACCCCCAAATTTCATCAAGAACCATTTGGTATTGAAGATTTTATTGAAAAAATGGTGGAAATTTCAAAACCCGTGAAAACCTGTTGTTTCAATCCACAGAAACTCTTTCTTTTTCTATGTTTCATTCCAAATTCCTTGTTTTATAAACATTAGATAGTGATCTACAGCAATAAATCACAAAAAAAATCACAAAATGGCAGGAAACTGAATTAAAAAAGGTAGAAAAAGTGGATTCTGGTGCCTGGTGCCTGGTGCCTGGTGCCTGGTGCCTGCAGCATATAATGGCCTCCATTGAAAAATAACGTCTGTTATTTTCACATGCCCGTTATTTGTAAAAAACACCCGATATATCGCTAACTAGTTCGATTAGCAGAAAACAGGTCGGTTAGCTATAAAAGCGGCCAGTTTGACCCTTAACCGGCCGGTTTTGGGTCGGAGATTTTTGGTGGGTGTTCTAGGATATATTATAAACTCAAAACCGGGCCTAACCGGAGTTAGGACCCAAGCGGTTCTGATCTAATCAATTGGTTCCTGTTCTAACCGGTCAGTGTTTCTAGCACTGTTTGTAATTTGTTGTAATTTCTTCATTGAGACATACTATGTTCATGTTTTCTTATACTTGCATGCACATTTTTATCTTTATAATTTGTTTGAATATCTATATTATGCTTCAGTTTCCTTTGCATATATTTGAATCGTAGACTTTTGATGCTGTTGACGGGAAGCAAGCAAGGCGTACGAACTCATCCAGTCCTTTGGGAGAACTTTTTGATCATGGTGATTTTCTTTTCTTTGTAGGTAGTCTATATCTAGTGAATACTCAAAACACAATTCTAGTGTCTAACTTGGTTAAATTTTTAAATAATGCAGGATGTGATGCCCTTGCTTGTGCGGTATGTTGACAAATTTAAGGTTCCTATGATTGACCTCTGATCTTGTGATTTGTCGCTCATTCTAACATTGATTTTCTCTGTTTTTGATCACTGCTGCTCAAAGTTTGAGGCCTTAGCTTTTGGAAGCTCTGTTATGTGTGGAGGGAATATTTTCTGGTTCTGGGTAATTGCAGCAGTTACATTTTACACTGCCACATGGGAGCAGTAAGTGGAAACTTATCCTTGTACTTATTATGTATGTGACTTGTGCATCTTTGCAATGATGCAATGATGCAATGATACATTCATGACTAGAATAACATCTGTAAGTGCTTTTTGTATTGCTTTTTATAGTTTGTTTTCTAAAGGCAGATATGTGATTTGAACCCTGATTCTGCGGGCTAAAAGTGAAGAGCTCAAGTGCTTATTCTTATTTTTTTAATCAATAGAAAAAAACAAGAAGAAAAATCTTCGTATCTTACGGTAGTCTGCATAGAGTCTATTCATTACGTGGCATCTCCCAGTCTGAATTTGCTTTTACCATTATGATAAAACTGCCAAATGAAGTATATTTGCTCAAATTTAATAAAAATTTCTTTGTTCTAAACAACTTTATTGCCAGATTAAAGACTAGAAAAACATTTTTCAAAATAAAAAAGATTATGGATAAAACAAAAGTATTACTGGTATTCAAATAACCAAAATATTAAGTGAGTGATTGGCTGAAAAATGGCATCTCTTAAAGTAACTAATTTGGTAATCCAATATGCGAGTTCAGAATTTGGGTAGTATTACTGGTATTCAAATACCAGCTTTGTTGTGTCTCATTGCTTAGTTGCTTTGGAGTCAAACAACCTTTGGGATATGGAATTTAGAAGTATTTCTGGTATTCAAATAACTAGAATGTTAAGTGAGTGCTGAAGAAGACATCTCTTAAATTAACTAATTTGCTCATCCAATATGCGAGTTCAGAATTTTAGTTGTTGTCTCGTTTCTTAGTTGCTTTGGAGTCAAACAACCTTTGGGATATGGAATTTGGAAAGTTCGTTAAATTTGAATAATCAGAAGAGGATTTACGATTTATCGGAAGCTGATGGTACTGGATGAAGGAAAAATAATTCAAATCAGCTGATATATTTTCTTTTCGATTGCCATTTCCTTTTCAGTAATAAATTTTCTGTGACAAAAATACCAAGTTTGAAACACATGTTTGTTTCCTCGTTGGAGCTGAGAATACTTAGTTATTTGAAAATATATTTTGAATTTTTTAAGGGAAAAAGTTTATATAAGGTTGCAACCTTAAAATGTAGAATTAAGGTGCACCTAAAAAATCCATCGGAAAAGGCTGTTTTAATGTTGAGAAACCCTCTAATTGATCATCTCGACAATTAGAGCCTACTTCGAATAGTGTCGAGAAATGGGGTTTCAATACTGAAATCTTTATGATAGCCTTAAAATATATTTCATCTTTACTTATAAAGTTTAAAGCTTAAAAAATAGTGTAGATCGAGAGATCTATGAGAACTTGAAAATCTTTTAAATTGACGGTCCAAAAATGTATCACAAAATACATTATTTTCAAACTTTGAAATCCATTTTTTTCTTATGTCCATGCATCTTGATGTCGAGATGATCAATTTGAGGATATTTAGGCATCAAAACAATCTCTTCTAGTGAAATTTTTGAGGTAGGCTCGAATTTGATTGTTTAGAGCCTCAGCTCTATATAAAATTTTTCCTATATATATATATAGGAAAACTCTTCCCAACGCCTATAGGCAAAAATGAACAGTGATTTCGCCTACCCTCATCACCATCCAAACTTCATCGCATGGTCACAGTTGTCCGATAGTGTTTCAATTTCAGTTTTTTTCTACAAATCCAAATTACTTGAAATTTGGAGTGTACATCTTAGTGAGGTGCACCTAATAAAAATATAAAAA